GTTGAACATATCTATAGGAACTGAAGATATTAGCCGCATATTCGAAGAATTGGTCGCCAAAACTTCTATGTACCTATTATAAATGGAGAAAAAGCAACGAGAGATAAGCGAAATTGACACAAAAGATGAGTATACGGTTGAGTGAGAGTGTTATTGTATTGAATGTTGTCTAACGCATGAATGGACAGAAGAAATCGTGCGAAGCACAAATGCAGAAAGGAAACTAGCCTCAATAACTAGAAAAGTTTGTAGAAAGAACGATGGCTACTTTATTAAATAAAGCATTTGAGGTAAGAACGTCTATGTCACTCAACAGTTTTACATAGGAGAAGAAATATCCCATTTTAGTGAAAGCGACCATAAAATACGATATGAGATCGAAAGAAAAGATAAGAAAAAAATGCATTTCATTTTCGTTCGCAAGGAATATCTGGAATATTATACTAATAAATTACTTGTTAAAGGAAATAAGGCTAGCTGAACAATAAAGATAAACTCATACGAACAGAGAAAAGATAACGAACATATTATACATGAATGAGGCAGCACATTAGATTTATAGTTTAGTAACTCGCAGAAGAATAAAATGAGCTACAAATGAAATAACTCGCTCGTTATATTGCTCAATAATATGTTTTGATAAAATGAGAGTATAGATTTACGAAAGAAAAAAAAAAACATCACTCACCATGTGGTTCATTTTTGCATGCAGTTGATGTTAAATTAATAAGAGTATATGACTGATTCCACTCGAAATCAAGAAGATTATAATATTATATAATTCAATTGATGATGGTTTTTGAGTGGAGAAACTAAATATAAAAGAAAAAAAAAAGAATTTGAAAATGTAATATCACTCACCAGGTTATTCGTTGTTTGATACTAATGGAAATAAATAATTAACCTTACTCTTGTTACTTTGCTAAATAATTGATACCAAGTAGATTAAAAGCTGACAGAAACAAAGGAAACGGCATCACTATGTAAAGTGTGATCCACTGTTTGACTAATTTCATACTGGATGAATAATGAATAAATAAAAATAATCAGTAAAGACATAAATATCAATATTGCATAAGTCAAATGATATTGTTGTTCGAACTGAATGACTAAATATAAAAGAAAGAAAAAAAAGAAAATTTGAAAAAGATGTATCACTTACCATGGTGTTCATTGTTTGATATTAATGGAAATAAATAATTTAGGACTGGTTTGTGACTTTGTTCAATAACTGATATTAGTGAAATGAATAAAATAGCTGAAAAAAAAAACAGAAAGAAAACAATAATGAAAATGCCGATCCATTTTTTGATAAAGTTAACATTGAATGAATAATGCACAAAAATACAATAAAGTTGACAAAAATTAAATATCAACATCATGTTATACAGTTGATGATATAGCTTGAATTAAATAAGTAAATGCTAAATACAATAATAATAAAGAAAATCGAAAAGTTATATTTTACCTATTTTGTCGACCAATGTTCGAGGAAATAATGTATTTTACAACCTAATAATTCCTTAAGGAAAAATATGTCCCAACAATACGTACCTCTCGAGTTATTGAATATTTGATACAGATTGAATTATATAGATGAGGAAAGCAATGCTCAAGAAGACAGAAAAAAAGAAAGTAGAAATGATTTTTAGATCTTTGCGTTTATGATGTATAATTCTTTTTCCCTAATTTGACAGATATCAATAATATTATATATAATTGGATTTGATACTTTAGATTTTATTTTAGTTGATATGAATAAGAAAAATAAAGAATTAAAATAACGAAAGAAACTGATCATCTGTTAAACAACTTTGTTTGAGAAGAAGAAAGAATGAAAAAAGTTATTTGATCGATTACTTGAACATATAAGACATTGAGATCAAATTTGTCGTTTACGTTTTGTTTGTCGTAATGCAACAGTTGAATTTGTCATAATGGTAAGTGGAAGACGACCTTGAGGAAATTCAATATTATCTTGTGGAGCATTGTTCATCAATGTATCATCTTGTTCTTCTTCATTTGAATTTTGTTTACATTTTCGTTTCTTTCTTGCTTGAGGTTGAGAACTACAATCAGATGCCGACACGTTCTCGTTGTTATTGTTGAATCTATATAAGAAAAAAATTTTTAAGAAATAAATAAATTAGAAAGATATAACTTACTGATTTGTATCAGAAGCCATATCTACACTTGAATGAGAACCATGAGTTGAAGTCGTTGGTTCTGTTGTTTGATTAATAATGCAAGAATTATGTTCATCAATAGAACGATTCAATAAATTTGTAACAATTTGTAATTGACTTTGAGATTCACTAATAAGTGTGGTTGTATTGTTCGAGACAGAATAGGACGAGATAGCTGGCAGTTGAAGACGTTCTCGATGAATATTAATATTCTTCTCCTTTATCAATACTCGAATTGAATTAGAGAGAAATTGTTTCTCACCATATAAAACACAATATAAAAATCGAATGGTTCTACTCTTTTTATCAAATGATAGTTCAAATATAGAATACATTGAGATAAGAAGACCAATAGCATCATCTGGTGAATTTGTTGAAAGAATTGGATGAAAGTCAATATAAATATGAATAATATCATCAATCAAGACCAATGTTGGATATGGTGTTAGTGGTTCCTATAAAAATTGATATTTTTAATTTTTACAAATAAAGACAAATAAAATGTATGCTGTGATATATCACTTTCTTGTGTCAATATGTTTAAAAGATGTCTAGTATTTTAAGTCAACAATTGACCAAATTTACAATTATAAATAAATCATTGCAATATGAGTCTTAAACATGAATACATGTCAATCAATAGAGACTACAACAGATACAAGAGACAGACCAGTTATAAAGATCTTTCTTAAAAACTGCAGGTTGAAATCTCATTTATGTATTTTCAATCGGTTTAAGTCAATCGTTTATTGATCGGGATCAATTTAAACTAATTTCATATCTGTTTTTGAATAAAATTTTGAACATAAAAGATGAAGCTTACTTTTTCGCAGAGTATATGTTGAACAGTTTCGCCGAACTTTCGACATAAAACTTTAATTAATCGAATAGAAAGTGAATCTAAAAGCAGATATTGTTTATTCATGAATATTTATTATTATTTTTATTTACCAGCAATGAATACAGGAGTTTCGACTAATTTATCTAATAAAATAGGAATTTGTCGTCGAACTTGTTTGCTTAAGTCGATGTTCATCAGCATTTTTACTTCTTCGAAGACCTATAATAGAAAAAAAATTCTTTAATGTAAAGAGATAATCTTGAGGAACTAATTTACCAAGAAAGCATCACTATAAGCAGGAAAATTCTTCATAATATCACTTGTTGATTGATCTCGCACGACTTGTCGACGAAAGGTAAATGTTTCTTTCCATAGACGTAATTGAGTATCAACATCCAGTTGAGAAAAATTTTGTAATTGTACCACCATTGATTGAATTTCATCAGATATTTCATTGTTATACGGCATTATTACCATCTAGAAAAAAATGAAGTGATAAGTAATACTTAATTATTAGTTACCTGTTTATGTCTATCACGTTCAGCAATTTCACCAATTTTTTGTTTAACTGGACGTCCAGATCCCAACTTTGAATATTTTAATCGAAATTCTTGAACAAGATCGTTATTTGGATGATCATTACGTGTTCGTTTTAATTTGGTTTGCAATGCATCTTTCCAAATGGTCTTAAATTTAAGAAAATAAATTATTTTGTAATAAATAAGTCTATACTTACTAAATTTTCTAGTGTTGAGGGTAATTTCAAACATCGTAGAAGAGCAGAACCAACGACATTATATTGTGTTTTTGATAGATAGCTAATAAAAAAATCAATAACAAGAATGAATGTGAAGTTCTATAGTAATTGAAAAAGCTTTTTCAAAGAAAAACCAATAGTGTTATGTTGATCGTTCAATTTTGGACTACACAACGTATTAATTAAAAATAAATAAAAAACTGATCAAGTTTCAAAACTGTCAATAATCGTTAATGCCTTGATAGAGAGAAATCTCGTCTTATCGTCTGAAATATTTCGACAAAAAATTGTTTAAATTAACGGTTTCTCTTCTCATATTTGTTGAAATATAAATTATCAGCAACGTAATCAATTATAAAAGTTAATATCGTGAATTTTTAATAGAAAATTGTCGAAAAAGAGTAGAAAAAAAATCGATTTATAAAATATAGAAGAACATGACGCCTATATGTATTTCAATGAAGAGATAACTTAGAGTAAATTATAATTTTCCATCAGATCATGAACTACTGCATCGATTAGTATTTGTCGACCTTGACAATGTGGACCAAAACTTTTGAGATTTCCAGCCTCAATATTTTTCAATAAAGCTTTTGGTAATATTGGTACTTCATATACATCTGGAAAAGATGAAGATACACCTGCAGCAATAGTAACTTGATCAGTTGTTGAATTATCCATAGACATTGTTGATGAAAAATTTGTGTTTGATAAATTAATTGAAGATCATGATTTTGAATTAATTGAAACAGTAGGTGATGCTTGAGCATTTAGTAAAGTAAAAATTGGTGTTTTAGGTATTGTAGATGTATTAGATAATGGACCATCAAATGAAATTGAACCATGATCAACTCTTCGGAATAATTTCTCACGTTCGTCTAAGAAAATTAGCTGTTGTTTCAATTTCGGTATTAACGGTGATATTCGTTCAACATTATTCAACATCTTTAGCATTGGACCATCCACATCATGCTCTGGAAAAAAAATAAAAATTTATATTTAAATATAATGATAAGAATAAAGACTTGTTCTTTGAAAAAAACATAGTTGAGAAAGTTAGAAAGCTGGATTAGTATGTGTTGTTACAAAAAAAATCATGCAATGCGCAAGAGTTTTATAACTAATACAACTATATAATATTTCAAGACGCAAAGACAAAATCAAATCATAAAGTCTCATTAGTTATGAATCATAACCAATTTCTTCATCAATCGCAATATATATCAGTATACTGATACATATTGCGATTGAAAAAGATCTTATACTATTAGGCACATGAACATTATAAAAAAAAAAAAGATTAATGAAAGTTTAAAAATGAAGCTATAATAAAATCTATATGAGAATAAGCGTTTGAAACATTAAATGTTCATTTTATGGTTAATGTAATGTCAGACGTGATATAAATGTAACAAAACTCAAATTATTCACCATGTAAATATCCAGTCCTTTGTAATAATATACTAAATCATTTGGATCAATCAAAGAATATCGAGTTAAAGATTGTATTTGCCATGCAAATAGTTTTTCATCATAACAAATTGTATCAAGAATATCAACTAATAACCACCATTTTTCATTCTTTTTTATAATCATAATAGTTTGAGCAAATATTGGTTGTTCATGAGATGGCTTTAAATCTATAACATATACTCCACATCGACGATATTCAACATTATCATAAATTAGTGTATTGCATTGATATAAATCTTTATCAAAATCAATATGATCGAAATGTTTCAATAAAATATCTTTCATTGGTGAATCAAAACAAGTACTTCGAACTTTTTTAATTCCAATTGGATATTGAGTTGATCGTAATCGAGATAAATGACCAAAAGTTAAACATTGTTTTAAACGATAACGTGTAACAAGCATCTTCGGAATGTTTTTGAAATTGCTCGTTCGAACTGCTATTTTCTTGAAATATGAATGATTAGCTTCGTATCTAAAACACCATTGTTTAACAGCAGGACCAAAATCATTGATCATGTATTTGTATTCTCGAATAAAGTGCTCCTTTGGTTTTACTTTATCTGGAAAATGACTTAGCATTGTTTCATGGAAAGTATCACATAATTCACCGAGTACATGTAGCCGTTTTTTTCGAAATAGATATGATAATATCAGGTCAAGTATTTCTCGTAATACTTTATATACTACAAATGAAGGTAAAAGATCAACTGTATCATTGAAAATGATAGGGAAAAGCTTGAAAAAACATAATTTTTGAGCCGCAGTGGCAACCATATGATCGTTTTGAAGGTGTTTTACGAGTAATGGAGGTGGTTGATCGTTGGAATCAAATTTTCCATATTGAAAGTTTTCCATACGTTCTTGTATACGAACTTCAAATGTGAAAAATATAAATCAACGAGAGGAGTAAGAAGAAATTACTCAAAAGAATATTAAAAAATGGTTTACTACGATTTTAAACAAAAATTTGCTATTGTTTAGAATATAAAAAGATTTTAATCAATTCTATATTCATTTAATGAAATTAATTCTCCTACATTTGACTCATTAAAAATCGAATATAAAGCATTTCTTAAGATCGCTTTTTCGTTGTAAGTAGAAAATGCATGATTATCTATTTACAGAAGAAAATCTGTCAGAATCAAGTTAAAAAAACAAAAGCATTCTCACTATATGTTAAAATTCGTAATGCAGACGCTTGTTTGAGTAAAGAAATTATTATCATTGGACATATCCCTTCAATAAAATCATGCATAAGATCTCGTGGTAATGATGTTTTCGCATGAAAACCAATTAGCTCCCGTAAAGGACTTGGTCCAATAACACCCTTCAAAGATATTCTATTAGGATCATTGATGATCTTATCAACAAGATCATCGTGGTCAATCATTGATCGAGTTGGAATTTGTGATAATGGAATTGGTAAATTCTTCTCTGGATATGTAATATAACATCTTCTGCAAAAATGACCACTACTGAAACAAGATTGAAAACCACCTACAAAATGGGATGCTAGATTGTCAGCGACAACGGTAGAAAAAGAAAATGTAAGATGAATGCCGTTAATTGAAATACCATGTAATTGTAACTTGTTTAAATTTTCAATTATCGGTGCAAAGAAACGCTGAGCTTTGATGTCATCCTCAAAAAAGAAATATAAGATATTATACAAATTCATATTGATATTTTTTTTTCTTTTTTACACGAAATATATCAAGTTAACATTCTAGTTAACGTTTACAAAAAAACCAATAAAACTAACATTTCTTATTTTGTATCAGTACTATCAAAACAGCTTTTTCTAAATTATTATTCTACCCGTATATGTTCGAGCTTATCATGAGAAAATTTACTTTGAGAGTTTTGCTCTCACAAACAGCAACTAATTGAATGAAATCAAGTTTGGATCGATATTTATCGGGAACATCTTCTAAAGAAAAATAAACCATAGTCATTTTATGTTTATCACGTTTTGCACCAAGCGGGTTCGTCAAACCAATATCATCCAAATACAACTGGATTAAAAGACTATCTTGATCAAATCGATTACCATAATACCCGTCTCTAATCGAAAACATAAGATCTGAATCATTCTCTACATTGATTCGTTGTTGTTGAATATTTTCTGAAATTTCTAATAGAAGTGGTTGAGATTTTAACATCGACGATAACGTTCTATCAATTGGAATGAAGTAACCATGCATGACATCTTCATCAGGTGATGATAATAGTATTTCTTCTGGTGAAGTGTAATCGAAATGTTTCTCACAATGCTTAATGAATTGGTAATTGTTTTTAGAAATTGATTCGATTATATTTGATAAATCATTCAATGTTTCGTGTAATTGATAAATTTCAATAATCTTTTGATTTTGTTTTGATAATGAAGATGTTGAAGTTGAATAAATATCTGTAGATGGAAGAAATGCTTTTTTTCCAGTAAAAGTTCTAAATGACGAATAAGCGTTACAATATACGTAGAAATGATATTCATAACGCCCTGCGGCAATAAATACTGTTCACGTAATTCCAGAAGAAACATCATGTACGATCGTTTGATAATCAACAACAATTCAGAAATGCTTTCGATATTATGAATGGAATCAAATAATAATGCAGGATTACAAAAATTCGTTTCATAATCATCATTCACCAGAATTGATTCAATATCATCAGTAACAAAATCAAATGTATCATCAGCATTGTTAATGAGCCATATTCGCGAATGCTTGTTGGCCACGCTAATGTAAGAAAGAAGTGGCCATATTAGTTTGTACATTCTTGAAGACGGCATTTTCTCTTTTATCTATCTTTTTCCCTCGTCTTCCAAACATATCTTGTGTTATAATGTGGTGGTAGAACAGCTTCGGTAACTACACGTGCAGGGAGTGGTATAAAACGAATAGAGTTTGATCGAGGCAACAAGATAGATGCAGCAGCAGTTGATTGTTGATTGTACTTCACAAGTAACCGACACAAGGTTGTAGTTGCTTCTGGAATATGAACATCTGTTTGAAGAAATTGCAGGTATTTTGGCTTATTTTCCTCATCTTTGTTATGTTTAAGAGCAAAAAACTTAATTTCTGATATATTAACTGGGTTAGAAGATTTTCGAGTTGGGTGATGCCATTGTTGGAGACGTTGTGTACAGGCTTCATACAATTTGTTGCGATCATAATCTAATAGTGCAAAACATAATGCAGCTAAATGTTTACAGGCTGCATAACGACCACTTCCGGCAACACATTCACATGTTCCTTCTAAAATGTCAGAAGGTCGATTGGTATTTATTAGAAGTTGTACCTGAAAAATAGATTTCTAAAAGTATAAAAATATAAAGTGTCTTTACGTGTATTTACTTGATACGTGGTTGATTTTTTCATTTGAGCACGACACTTGGCCGAAATTTTTCTTTTCACGTATTGTCGCGCAATAGTTATATCATAAATAAAATGTTCTTTGAATAACAGGTTTCCATTTCTTAGAGAACCTCGATCTAGATTTCCGTCACTAGCAAGTACGGATGAGAAATATTGTGTTATAGAACCCAAATCGACATTAAAAGGTCTTTTATAATCGATAATAGAAACAATGTTTAATGACGACATGTTCAAGTGAAATAGAAAATATGAAAATGAGACAGTGATCGAGAAGATGATTGTTTTTTATCACTTCTTACATTTTTCTAACAATATAGTAATGTAAGAGAGCGGTAACAATTAAGCGCTAATTGGCTTATATACTACAGGGCTATCAATTATTGTTGATTAGTATTCCATGGTAGATATGAACGATATTGTTCTGAAGGGATTATACGATGTTCTAATAATGATTAATGAAATTAAGATATTGTTTTCAAATGCGTCGGTTCAAGTTGAACTGTCATTTTCATAAAAAAAATGGTGAAAAAATGTGTTACTTGTTCCAAAAAAGAGACTAGGTCTAATAACTGCACATTTCATCGTTTTCCAAAAGACAAAAATTTACAACAAAAATGGCTGAAATTGCTCAATCGACTTGATTTAAACAATGTGTTACATCAAAGAATATGCAGCAACCATTTCGACTCTTCTTCATTTATTTCATATCCAAGCAATCAAACAAATAAGATTGCTTCAAAAAGCAAACAAAAACGATTAAAACGTGATGCTTTACCTATAAATATAGCAACACCAGTTCAAACAACAAGTGTTTCAACTTCTTCAACTCAAACTGATTTGTGCCTTAATGATTTATCTGATTTGTTTAATAAAATATCGCTTTATGAAGAGACAATATTTAAAACGACTATATGTATTGAACGATTTCGTCATGATGATGTTAACATTAGATATTACACAGGATTTCGATCTTATGATACTTTTACAATGGTATATGACTTATTAGAGGTATTTACTTAAGCATTCACTTAAGTTTTTGTTTTGAGAAATAAGATGTTTTGAAATAAATATGTTGATTTTAAAACTTGATGAAAAATATTTATACTATAAATCAGCACAAAGGTTATGTTTGGAAGACGAGGGAAAAAGATAGATAAAAGAGAAAATGCCGTCTTCAAGAATGTACAAACTAATATGGCCACTTCTTTCTTACATTAGCGTGGCCAACAAGCATTCGCGAATATGGCTCATTGTTTCTAATTCCATATCTAAGTTATTCATACTTTCTTGTTGTTGACTTTCATTAGGAGTAATATTCGAATTATTGTTCGGTTTGTTTTTCAAATGGAGTTCAGACGTGTGTTGTCGGTAAACATGAGCTTTATATGCAGAATATGTTTTGTATAAAACTCCACATGTATTATATAAATCACATGTGATATTGAAATTCGGCTCATTTTGATGGTACAACGTTATGTGTTGAAACATTTTGGCAAAACTGCTGAAACGTCGATTTGTTAGACAAAATGAACAACTAAATGATGACATTATGACTTTGATAAATGAAAAAGATCAAAATTAAATGAGTTATTTATTTTCTATAATAATAAAATATATAGAATCTTGTTTATTTATTTATTTACAAATTTGTAAAGACAGATCGACGAATAGAAAAACGTAATTGTAAATGATTGGATTGAATAAAATATAAACAATTCAATTCTTTTCTTCCACAAACGCATATGTCTACTTTGCTTTAAAAAAACGTAAGAAGACGAATAACCTTGATAAATGTTAATAACAAAAAAATTCTAACATGCATAATGGTGATCTATTCGTTAACACAAACACAAAATGAGCTTTCATTTGACAAAAATACACGTGCCTTTGCGTGATAAATTAGAATTGACTGACCTTCAAATTTCGATAAAATTGAATCATCATCAATGAATAATTTGCACCAAGTAATAACTTGTTCACAAGACCAATTCATACTAAATAATTAAATTATCTAAAATAATAAAAATGTTGTTTATAAGTATCTAAAGAAAGGATCATCATTATAATATCAAAGATATACAAAAACAAGGTTATTTCTAATTCTTTTCGTTTCGTCTTCGATTGCATAGTTCGTCCATTTATATCAGCTATAGCTATTTTATCTAATGACAGAAATGTTCGATAGATGGTGATATCTTCTTCTAGAATTTATAAACGTACAACAAATGAAAAATTCAATATTTTCACGAAAGATGTCAAATATAAAAAGAACTTCGGCACATATTCCATCACGTACTTTTTGCCCAATGTCTTAATCATTACTGGTACAGTCTCAAACTTATTATTTCGTTATGCATTACAAATTGCTGACAAAATTTCTTTTCTATCATAAATAAAGAATTAATCAATACTGAGTTACGAATAATAAATTCTTCAGAATAAAAAAATCATCTTTGATGAATACATTGATAAACCCTTTGCAAGAAAGTGGAAGACGATCAACCCTCATCCGTGTGATAATAAACCCTTCTCATGAAGATGGAACATGATCAATCCTCATCCGTCTAATGATAAACCCTTCGTAGGAAGGTAGAAGATGATCAACCATGATTCGTGCAGTGATGAACCCTTCTCAAGAAGATAGAAGATGAACGGTCCTCATCCATATAACGATCAACCCTTTGTAGGAAGGTGGAAGATAGTCAACCCTCATCCGTGTAATGATAAATCCTTTTCAGAGAAGGAGACGAAGATCAACCCTCATCCATGCAATGATAAACCCTTTTCAGAAAAGGGGACGAAGATCAACCATTATTCGTGTGATGATAAACTCTTCGTAGGAAGCTGGAAGATGATCAACCCTCATTCGTGCACTGATGAATCCTTCACAGGAAGATGGAAAGTGATCAACCATTGTCTGTGCAATGATAAACCCTTTGCAGGATGGTGGAGGTAGATCAATCTTTAACCGTGCAGTGATAAACCTTACAAAGTGAACGACACAAAGATTAGTATTATCCGCAGGATAATATACCCTGTAATTCAATGGAGGGAAGAATCAACCTTTACCCGTAGAATAATATACTAATTAACGAAAAGGAGAAAGATAAACCTTAATTGGTAGAGCGATAAAC